TTTACAGTAATTATTCATGTCTGCAGAATACATATGACAAAACCAAGGGAAATTATAAATCCTATAAATAGCCTCACTGGAGAACAGCTGGTTATATCCCATACAATAACCAAGCATTTATACCCATCCACACGCTTCTGCATCACGAAGAAGATGGCAATTGCAAGCTTGAAATTCAGTTTAGATCCGTGAAAAGTACAAAAGGAAAATGAGAGGAAATGGAAATGTCAGAGCAGCTGGACCCCACGTTTTCTATTACTGTGTTAATGCTGGAAGCTGAGGCTAAAGAAAAACCCTGAATTTCAGTGTTCAACATCACTCAAATGCTCAGTGTTGTTTTCATGAGTATATTCTACACATGCTACAATTTATTGCTGCATCCCAAGGTAAAGGTGCAGATGCAAACTGGAAAACACATCACTCAGTTTGTGCAGAGGGATGCAGGCAAACACAGCCTGGCCCTGACCCACTGGCAGCATGGCACTCAGTGGGAATGAAGCTTGGCCACCTTTACCATCCATCCTCCTGGAAGATCTGTCCCAGCACCAGAATCAGTAACAGCCCAGGAAAACAACTTCTGCCTTCCCTTCCTCTACCTTCAGCTAGGGGACAAAATACTTTGGTATCAGAATCAAAGGATTGTATAGATTGGAAAGGACCTTTATGATCATTGAGTCCAACCGTTAACCCAGCACTGTCAAGTCCAGCACTAAACCCTGTCCCTAAGCATCACATCTACATGGCTTTTAAACACCTCCAGGGATGGTGACTCCATCACTACCCTGAGCAGCCTGTGCCAGTGCTTGACATCTTCTTCCAAACACATACAGAAACATTGAAAAGCCCAATACAGAATGGTAATTGCTGAATTAGAAGAAGATGCTCCTGCTACACCATCATCATGGAATGGTTTGGGTTGAAGGAAACTTAAAAGCTCCTCCAGCTGGACCAGGGACGGGCAGGGACCCCTTCCACTGGAGCAGCTTGCTCCAAGCCCCTGGGTCCAACCTGGCCTTGAGCACTGCCAGGGATGGGGCAGCCACAGCTTCTCTGGGCACCCTGTGCCAGCGCCTCAGCACCCTCACAGGGAAGAGCTTCTGCCTAAGAGCTCAGCTCAGTCTCCCCTCGGGCAGGTTCAAGCCGTTCCCCTTGGCCTGTCCGTACAGGCCCTTGTCCCAAGCCCCTCTCCAGGTTTCCTGCAGCCCCTTTAGGCACTGGAGCTGCTCTAAGGCCTCACCAGATCCTTCTATTCTGTACTATGACTGGTCTACACATATTTAAACCTCAAACCAGTTGTAACCTCTGTAAGGAGTTTTTCTCCTTATCTCACCTGATTGTGCCAAATATGTACTCAAAATATGACCAGTTTATCCAAAAAACATTTACTAAAAATAGGTAATTGTGAATATTCGTTACAGGAAAATTGGCATGAGCAATACTACATTGAGCTCCTGACACAGAATGGTACCTAAGAAGTTCACAAGAATCGATAGGTAAGATGTCTAACATGAAACAAGGAGGTGGACCCTTCAACTAGTCAATAAGATATTTTACATTACAAATGTGTGTTTAAATGTCTTTGCATGTACACACGTGTGCACACTCACGTGAATCTACCCATACATCATAAACATATAAATGCACTGCAAACTTGTTATCATTTTATTCTGTAAAGTCACCTATCAGACGTCCATGGTCAAGAAAAATACCTTTGTGAAGACAAAACTGAACTGAAAATCATTTTTACACTCAGAATTCATGATATCACCAGAGACATCTCAGTCATCATAAAAGTCAATTACAGACACTGGCTTAAGAACTGACCTTTGCATTGAGCCTCCCCCTGAAAAGAAATGTGATTAAAAACCAAACAATTGCTGCCCAACAAATCTTCATGGTTTTGCACAGGACTGATGGGAATTGATGTGTTCCACTGCTCTCAGATTGGAGTGAAGGGGTGGCTTCTGGGGGAAGGTTAATCCCTGAACTTGTCTTAAATGGTGGAAAGCTGGCCCGTCTGGATCCTCGTAATGCCCAGAACAAGGTCTACTATGGAAGACATGTAGGGGTCACCTACCCTAGCAGATTTCTTCCTGTAGTAGAAATACTGACGTGAACAAAGTCCTAATAGGGACCTTTGGGTAGGGAGGTACCAGGAATGCTGGCAGGATAAAGCTGTGGCAGCTGGACCTGGTCCTCCTTCCTCTCCCTCTACTCTCCGCCGCCGCCATGGGGATCGATATCCGCCATAACCGCGACCGGAAGGTGCGGCGCCGGGAGCCCAAGAGCCAGGATATTTACCTACGGCTGCTCGTTAAGCTTTACCGGTTCCTGGCTCGCCGGACGAATTCGGCCTTCAACAAAGTGGTTCTGAAGCGGCTATTTATGAGCCGCACGAACCGGCCCCCCCTCTCCTTGTCCCGCATGATCCGGATGATGAAGAAGCCGGGGCGGGCGGACAAGACCGCGGTGGTGGTGGGCACCGTGACCGATGACATCCGCATCCAGGACGTGCCCAAGCTCAAGCTCTGCGCCCTGCGGGTAACGAGGGGGGCTCGGACCCGCATCCTGCGGGCGGGGGGCTCCATCCTCACCTTCGACCAATTGGCCATGGCCACCCCCAAGGGGAAAGGCACCGTTCTGCTGTCCGGACCCCGCAAGGCAAGGGAGGTCTATAGGCACTTCGGGAAGGCACCGGGGACCCCCCATAGCCACACCAAGCCTTACGTGCGCTCCAAGGGCCGCAAGTTCGAGCGGGCTCGGGGCCGCCGCGCGAGTCGGGGCTACAAGAACTGAGCCCCCAATAAACGGCTTTGTCTTTTCTATTTTTTTTTTTTTTTTTTTTTTTTGGGTCTCTATAGTTTGGAGAAGAGGAGATTGAGGGGTGACCTTATTAGTGTATATAAATATATAAAGGGGGAGTGTCACGAGGATGGAGCCAGGCTCTTCTCAGTGGCAAACAATGAAAGGACAAGGGGTAATGGGTACAAATTGGAACACAAGAGGTTCCACTTAAACCTGAGAAGAAACTTCTTCTCAGTGAGGGTGATGGAACACTGGAACAGGCTGCCCAGGGAGGTTGTGGAATCTCCTTCTTTGGAGACATTCAAGACCCGCCTGGACACGTTCCTGTGTAACCTTATCTAGGTGTTCCTGCTCCGGCAGGGGGATTGGACTAGATGATCTTTTGAGGTCCCTTCCAATCTCTAACCTACTGTGATACTGTGATACTGTGATCCCAATCCCACCATACTCACAGGCAACTGTTCAAGGCACTGACGTGGAGAAAGCAAAAGATTCATTGATGCCATTAAGGGATGATGGCAGGAACAGGAAGAGCAGAACTGGAGCTGTTCAGCATCCTCACCTGGCAGGGAACAACAGACACTGAATACATCAAATGCTGCTAATGAATTCCCATGGAAATAGGACAGACTAAAGAGACACAAGATCACCACCAACTCCCAAAGGGAACCGAGGGCACATCCAACAACGAGCACATGTTCACCAACCTGCGCAGCAGAGGAGATGTGATGTGGGCTTCACAGCCGGCACTTCTTGCTCTCCTGTCCCAGCAGCAACCGCAGACCCATCACATGGACACACGTGTCTGGACCCTTGTGAGGATGTCAGCATGACAAAGTGTGAGTGATACCACTTTGGTTAAAATCAAATTACCTTCTTTTGCTCTGTTGCCTCTTGGGCTTGGCTTTGCAACAAACTGCCACAAGAAATCCATATTGCATCGGGATGCTCTTATACAGAACTCTTTGGAGTACAAAGGAAAAGAGCACACAACAGGAAAATTAACAGCCTTCGCAGGATTGTTCACTGCTTAGAGACTGTAACTGCATTCGTTTCTGGATTTGCTTAAGTAAGTGTGTTTTTACACCACTTTGAGGAGGGCAATGATTCGCTCTGGCTGGGTGTCCTACGAGTTACAGCCTAGAAGCTGTTAGATTGTAAAAACGGTGACAATTTGGGTCCGGATGTGAATCTAAAAGTGATTTTCAATTCCCAGTCTCAGCTTGCATATCCATAAAACACACACACAGATGAGATTTAGAGTTTGTACTGCAAGACCAATCTGAAAGCACAGCCCTTGTTTGAGGAGTCTCGCAGGGCCGAGTTATAACACTTGCATGAGCACAGGCGTTTGCTAAGGACGTGTGAAAACAAACACATTATCAGCAATACGTTTACAAGCAGGCAGTTAAAGGTCCATGTGAAAGCCTCTTCCCATCCTTTAGAAAGTAAATGGAACAGAAAAGAGGAAAACTCACCAGCATCCCTGTGTGATCTCCTGCGCAGGAGCACTAGTGGTCTCTAAAGCAATGTCCAATTGAAGACTTAGAGAATTAAAGTTGTAATACATTATTGATTGTCTGCAGAAAGAACATCTGATCGACTATAGCTAAGGAGCCTTCCCAGCTTGTTCCTCTTAACAGAGATTATACTAATAACCAAACAAATAGGGAAGTGTAGGACAATAACTAACAGTAAATTCTCAGACACTCTCATCGCTGATGTTATCTCACTCTGCAAGAAGTGCGTTTGTTTGATCCAAATGTTCAAGGCAGAATTACGAGACTGTCACTGACCATTAGAGCCACCTTTTATGGGCAGGGCAATCTTTCTGCCTTCCTGACAACACTGTTGTTTAACTGCTGTGTAAGTCATGCTTCTGCCAGCTACCTGCATCATGTAGCAGCTACTCGAGGTAGAAAATGTTACCTAAAACGCATCTGTTTTCTGAAGAGTTCGGCCACAAATAATTTCCAACTTAAAGATAAGTAAGCTGGCATCATGAATACTGAAAGCAGACAAAGATGGATGCTTCTAGTGTTGATGTGTGTTTTCTATCAGTCCTCCGTAGGCAGGAACAAGTAAAGGTTTCAGCTTCATCACGGGCTCCCTGAAAACTACTCAGGAAAAACCAGAGAGTAAGTGTATGTGTAGTGAGGATCACAAAACCCAAGGGAATGGATTTCTTAGACAAGTTTTCAAAATAGTATTTTATTTTTTTGAGTCAGTGGTATATTTAAAAACAATCTACCATAAGAGTAAAAAGATTGTAGATAGTAAAAAAACAAAGGTGTGATGACAGTAAAAAACGCTAGAGTACAAAGTTAGTTCCTGTCCTCCCTCCCAACACCCCATCCCATCATTGTCCAATATTTCTCAGAGCTTAATATCTAGAAAAAAAAAAAAAGCCTTTTTTTTTACACTTTCAGCATTAGGGAATTAAAAATAGGTGAGGCCTTCTTTGCAGGTACATTAATTCATTATTACATAAAAAGCAGGCACCATAAAAATTAAAACATTCTAAAAACCATCATATATACAAACGCTGTACAGAATGATGGCACAAGGACAAAGTGATTCCATTCAGTTCATCCTAATCCACATGAAATATTACACATTAGAGAAGAAAAGAAAAAGCTCTTCCCATTCCTGTACTCACCTGCTAGGTGTGGAATGACCAGGAGTCTCCTATCTGCCTACTCTGGTTCTTTTCCTATGTGCCCGTCAGGAGCTAAAGGGCTTCCTTGACTGACCAACCCCCAGGAGAAGGGCCAGCTGAATGAGAATGGAAATGTCTGATCACCAATGACTCGTTTTACAAACCCCATTAGCAATCAGTTTATTTGTGCCTAAAGAGAAGGCACGTGCCTGATTTTTAGCCCCGGGCACAACCGTTATTTGGGGATATCCCATGGCAGCTTCTCCTTCCTGGGAAGCCTACTCCAACGTGCACTGGATTCAATGTGAATATCATCATCAATTCCTATATACACCGAGATTAGGTACAAAATACTCAGCTCATTTGAAACTCCACAGCTACCTAAGCGCTTTAGAGACAAAATATTCAGCTCGCATTTGAATCCCCACAGCTACCTATGTGCCTGAAGTTATTCAGGAGAAGCAGGGAGCAGGTTTAGGAAGAGGGGACTGTCAGATGATAAAAGCCTCCCAGTCTCAAGTAGAAAACCAGATTTCTTTCAAGTCATGGGAGGGAATAACCCCAGAAAGAGGGGAGATGTAGTGTTGCTTCCGACACGAATGGGTTTCTTAACGGAGTTAGAGTCATTGCACTAAGTGTTAGATACTGCACGCCTGAATGAGGTAAACGTTATATACCATAAAATACTTAGGGAAATGAATTGTTACAGCTTTATCTTTGGAAATAAAACCACCCGCTTCCTTCTTCACTGGACAATCCCAGAGTCAACCGACGTTTGCTTCCGAGTTGTCTTTGGAGGAGGAGGTGGGGGAGTCTTGCTGGGGAGCGGAGGTGGCAAGTGCTGCAAGAAACCAATTTTGACAGAGCATGTTAGCAATGAATGGATCTCTGGAACGGCTCCTGCTCCATCTATAACAGTGAGAGACAGCAGGGGAGCCTGCAGCCCTCTGCCTCCTGAAAGCTTCTCTGCAGAAATTGCTACTACGAGCAGGGAATGCTCTTGGCCATTAGCTTAAAATGGAACTTCGACTTCAGACAATGAAAAGAATCTCTTCAGGGTTTATGATGAATTAGCTCAGTATATCAGGAAAAATCTTTTGAAAGCACTGGAGAAGTTTATAATTCCCCGCTTTATATCATGATAAGATATTGATTTCTTGGTCTGTATCGATTGCCCTCAGCCTCTGTGCACTACAAAGCTTAAAAGCCAAGTTGAAGCCACAGCATCTCTGCTTTTCCGTTCTGTTTCTGTTTTGCACATTCAGAACACAAATAATTAAACAAAAAAAAAAAATAAAAGGAAACCATTTAAAGAGATAAGTAACTTGAAATTTACTGTTACACGTTCAGTTATAATTAAAATATTCAAAACAGAAATCCAGGCTGTTCAAATATACATATTTTAAATCACTTCATATATCACACAGCAGAACAAGTGCACCCTTGCTTAGATTCCCTGGCTAATTGGACAAATTAAAGAAGTCATTATGGAAATTCAGACTTTTTTTCATAATGTTTAATCATATCTATGATAAAATCTGTTTCAGAAAGAGCTTGAGAACACTGCAGTTCACCCATACACTTTGCAATCCATTTTTCCATGGCATTTTGGCTATGCAGGCAGTACAGTTTTCCCATCATGAGGCTGTACTGCAGTGTCACAGCTCAGAAATGCTACTCTGGGTTTGCTTTTTCTTATCATTCTTTCCCTGCTCAGCCAGCCTTTTGTTTCCTCCAAGTATACGGTTCTTTTTCATTTCCACTTGTTTATGTCTCAGCGTACCCATCCCAGTTCACCCACTCCATACTGAACCACTGGCTCATGCATAACACTTCAAACCCTACACCACACACTGACCCTGCTAAATTTCCTTGATCACCACTACAAGAACAGCCTAAACATCTAAAATGCCTTAGTGTTACACTGCATGTACTATGTGGACAAAATAACTGATGAGTTCTCAGTCGCAGTAAGAAGCTGGTATAGAAGAAACTGATAAAACATGTGCAAGTGTAAAACCCAAACCTGTTCCTTTTAAAAGATATCCAAAGGTGGTATCCAAAAAGAAAAGTGGTTGGGTGGGATGCCAGGTCATTTCCTCTGCCATGGGGCAGAAGCAGCACGAGAGCCTCCTAATGCTCCCGCAATGCAGTGGCCAGGAGTCTTCAGAGATGTGTAAGAATAGATGGAAAAAGTATCTTTAAGGTAACTGTCACGGTTTAAACCCAGCCGGTAATCCAGAACCACGTAGCCACTCGCTCACTCCCCCCCCTTTCCTCCCCGTGGCTTCGGGAGGCATGCGGAGGAGAATAGAAAGAACGTAGGTCCCATGGGTTGAGATAAGAGCAGTCAGTAACTAAGGTATAACACAAACCAGTGCTGCTACCACCAATGATAATAATGATAAGGGAAATAACAAGGGAAGAGAATACAACTGCTCACCACCCGCCAACTGATACCCAGCCTGACCCGAGCAGTGATCTAACCCTTCTGCCCCCAGTTTATATAGTGGCCATGACGTGCTGTGGTATGGAATACCTCTTTGGTCAGTCTGGGTCAGGTGTCCTGTCTCTGCTTCCTCCCGGCTTCCCCTCCTCCCTGGCAGAGCATGAGGCTCACAAAGTCCTTGGTCAGACTGAACATTACTGAGCAGCAACTAAACCCATCGGTGTTATCAGCGCTGTTCCCAGGCTGAAAGTCAAAACCACAGCACTGCACCAGCTACTAGGAAGGAGGAAAGTGACTGCTACGGCTGAACCCAGGACAGTAACTCACTGCCCTCTTCAAAGCACATTTTAAGACATAAATCCAGAGTTCTTACGGGATGGCTTTACTAATCACAGGCTCAATAGAAAGGTAAGACCGCATACTGCAGAGCCGGGAAGGCTGGATTTTGCCTGGAATATTTTCCTGTGTCCTACCCAGAAAGAGATACTTTCCAATCTGTTTCTCAACTTCCCTCCTTCCTCCTGGTTCTCCCATACGGCAAACAAACAGGGGTCCCAAGCTAGCATCAAGTAAGCTATGCCCTAAACCTGTCTCTCCATGTTGTGAAGATCTTCCACTCACCAGTTCCTCTGCCTCTCCACCACCAATGCAGCAACACGCGTGCTCTCACCTTTCTCCTTGGGTACAACATGCTATCCCAGTTAGCAACTCAAATCAACTGGCTTTAAGCTGCTACTGAATGAGAATCTCTGGACCAAGAGCATGGCACCGGAGACCAGGTGTGCTTGCCTGGAAAGTGCCATTTCCTTGTCTGCCCAGGGAAGCCTCCTGCCTAATGAGCAATGAAGTGTTCACAGTCCACTTAAAGTTCACCCTTGCTCTTTTGAAGAAGCAACCAGGTTATTAAAGCATTGGAGACTTGAAAGCATGATGCTTGAGCAGCATTCATTGATGTGTAAGCAGCATTCATCTCCCAGAGCAGGCTCAATCTGTGCACTATTTATTCATAGAATCACAGAGTGGTTTGGGTAGGAAGGGACCTTAAAGCCCATCCAGTTCCAAGCCCCTGACACGCTCAGGGACACCTTCCACTACAGCAGGTTGCTCAGCTGGACACAGTGACCCCTGAGTCAGAAAACTAAGCAAACACACTAATATGAAAAGCAGATAAAATAAGAACTTCATTTTCCTAACTGCAAACCTGAAGGATTTGTTAATTAAGAAGCCACTGCTATTCTGCCTCTTAAGTAGTACAGTCAGAACCATTAAATATTTCCTCTACCTGACCAAAAACTTGTCTTAAACCTTTTTGAGGCCAGGTTGGACAGAGCCTTGGGTAACATGGTCTAGTGTGAGGCGTCCCTGTGGCAGAGGGGTTGAAACTGGATGATCTTAAGCTCCTTTCCAACCCAAAACCATTCTATGATTCTATGATAACCTGACATGTTGAAGTAGCTGAACCCCTACTAAAACACCTAAATAAGAGCGGAACTGTCAGTTATTCAGCTTTACACATTCAGTGATGAACTGCAGACTGCAAAATCAAACTGCTTAGTTACAGCCAGGTACCCAGGCGGGGGCTCTGGGCAACCTTTGGTCCTCAGCACATCATTAGGGACTGTAGTGGTAGGACAAGGGGTAATGGGTTAAAACTGAAACAGGGGAAGTTTAGATTGGATATAAGGAGGAAGTTCTTTACTGTGAGGGTGGTGAGGCACTGGAATGGGTTGCCCAGGGAGGTTGTGAATGCTCCATCCCTGGCAGTGTTCAAGGCCAGGTTGGATGAGGCCTTGGGTAATATGGTTTAGAGTGAGGTGTCCCTGCACATGGCAGGGGGTTGGAACTTGATGATCTTAAGGTCCTTTCCAACCCTAAATATTCTGTGATTCTATGATCAGTGTACAACATGCCAGAACTCCTCCCAGGGATGATATTAATTCCATATCTAAATACATGAGGTTTATTAGTTACATATTCATGACAAAACATCAAACTTCCCTCAGTGCTCTACTCTCAGACAACATTTTTAACTTCCTATTTCTCACTAGAAAAAAACTAACTCTGCTGAAAGCCTCATTTATGAAAATCCATTTTGAATTTAAAAAGTAGTATATTGGCAATAATTCTCAATTCAATCAGATCAAAGGCATTCCTCAAACAAATGAGCCTTTTATATTGATCAGAGAACAATCAAATTACCCCTGAAGACCTGATTCTGAAGAAAAGCTACAATGCAAATACAATGAGAATAAGCTAAATATATAGGCTATAAATAACAAGCACAAAGCCTACCAGGGCTTAGATTCTGCAAGGAAATTAGGCAGAAAGAAAGAGCAGAGAGAGGTAGATAATTATTATAATTGAATTTACAATTTCCATTAGAAAGTTGGATAAATTTAGTACATGTTCATTTATATAATAAGCTACCAATGAATATATCAAGTAGGATGGGTAATGCTCGTTGGGGCAACATTAATTGAGAAATTTGCATGACAAAATGTGTCAATGTGGACCTGGTGGCACTCCAGATCCAGCCATCACTCCCATTGCTCCCTTTTATCCCAGCAAAGGGAGAAGTTCAAGCACAGTTTTTGTCTCCCTTTAATAGAACACTGAGAAAATCATTATTAGGCTGATGAAATTCCTTTTTGCTACTCCTTCCCTTATTAAACTTCGAAATACAAATCAGAGTTTCCCTCAATGTCACATTAATGAACACCTGCGTTAGAATCAGGCTAGGAAAGGACCTTATTTGTTGTCCCACAGCCTTTTTCTTCGGTCCAAGGACCATGAACTTTGCAGGGTTCATGTTTGTATTTCAATGGTTAACTGTGAACCCACCATATCTCAAAGCATGCATTTACTTTCTGACAAAAGGCTAGAGACTGGTTCACATTCAAACCTATTTTGGGCAGAATCCTTGAGTCACGGGTACCTCAGGGGAAGCAGAAACCTTATGTAAAAGGCACATCTGCAACACAGAAGCAATCTGTTCCTTCTGCTTCAAACATGAAATTGCTCCCATTTGTTTGGTTTTCTTTTCCCTGATACAGAAAAAGAATCAGGTTTAAAGAACATTTGTCTCCATTCTCTTACAAACTGCACTACACCACGCACGTTCAGGATGCACTAGGAATCAATTAAAGAAGATGAAAAATGCACGGTTTTCCTATCCTGTGACGAAGCAAAGCAAGATATGAGAATGCTTTTCATTTCCTATCAGAAAATACTATTGAAAACCACCACCACCTCCAAAAATCAGACAAAATGTGGTTCCCCCAAATGCTCCTTGGGGCACTGCAAGAGATTTCCTCCTGGGTAGCTATTTTACTTTGAAACGAAATGGTCATCAACATGTCAAGCTATAGAGATCCAATCGAAAGCACTTTAGT